TGTTTAGTTGTGTGAGTTTGGTGAACAAGCAGCAATCTGGACAAGTTATCTCCACATAAATATAAAGCTTCATTTCCTGAGCTTATTATTCATGAGAACAAAGCAAAATTATGTATTAATCTTGCCCAGTACAATTGCTTTCCAGTTGTGTTCCAAAGTCTACTTGTTTATGTCTCAAACTCCAAAAAACATAACTTACCCAATTTTGTCCAACTGTTAACTAAAGGCCAATCACAATTCACTCCTAATTACACAAACACCCTATACACCCTACACCCTTCTATCAACATATTACTATGTATTTTTTTTTTTGACAAATTCCTGTTATCTGATATGTTCTTACTTGAAATTTTTCTCATTTTGCTTCAAATTCACTCTGAATTTCCCTGGCAAAACATATATATTACAAAGGCCTGTTTCACTGCTCCTATATTTCTAAGATATTCTCTTGATGTAGTCTATCTCTTGTTAAGTCAAGCTACCCACTTTACACATTTTTGTGTGTATATATATATATATATACACACACATAGACACACACACACATCATTCCTATGGCATATATACATGTATATATATAAATGAGTGCGTGTGTGTATATATATGTGTGTGTATATATATATATATATATATATATATATATGCACACACCATTTTATATATAGAAATTTTAAATGGTATAGGAAAAATATTTTAAGTCTTTTATCAGCCAATAGCGGCTGAATGGGATAAAATGGGAGGGGGATTTTGGGAGAGGGCTTGGGAAGTGGCCCATCACATTTATGTCCATCAGAAGAGCCACAATAGACTACTGATATCCATTATGCAAGTGAAAGCTTATACTGGTAATTGGTGATAATTCTTATAGACCAATTTACATATACAGGGATCAAAGCCAATGAAAATTTTATAATAATAGTGCAGTAAGCTGTCATTAAACTCAAATTATAAAACATTGCTATTCATAGTCAAAGATTTTTTTGATCAAAGGATACTTGAATTGTGTTATCATTATACCATAAGCATTTAACTGCTTCCTTTTGGGTCTTCAACATCTCAGTTAATAAATTTTGTAAGTAATTTTTAAAATAATTTCAGGATGGGAAATGTGAGCCTTTTACTAACTTCACAGGGCTATTTTATGGAAGATATACTTAGGATAATATAGTTTGAAGAAATGAGTTTTAGTTTTGTTTTCTAGATATAGGTTGATACTCAACAAAATTTGGGCAATATTATTTGACTTATGTAATAACACAAAGTGAAACGAAGAGAACAGCTGATCAGTGCAGAATGAAACTGCATATTTATACAAAATTCTTCAAGGGATTAAAAAAATGGTAAATGAAGGGACTGAAGAATAAAGTATAAAAGTTCATAGAAACTTCTGGAGGATTTGTCACAAGGATGAATGTTCTCTATCTAGAGATCTGCCATGCATATGTACTTTAGTGAAGACTATAATGGCTGAGAAAGTTATTAGATTTTCAACTGAACTGTATTTTAGATACATCATATGAATTTATAATTATATAGGACCTCTTAGATTTTAATAGAGATGAAATGAAACACTGTACTGTTAGATTTTTTTTTTAAGATTGATTTATTTGTGCATACAGAACTGGGGTACAGGCCAGAGGCTCAGGGGCGGTGAGAGGCTTCACCAGAGACAGAGTAGGGAACAGAACAGGCAGATCGACGAAGTACACTGCTGAGGGGAGCAGCGGGCTGGTCAGGAGAGGCCTGCCACACCATGTGGTCACCTCCTGGGCAGGCGGGAATCAACTCATGCTGAAGCAGCCTTAGATTCTCAGTACTGTGCTTTAACCCACTGCGCCACCAGGGAGGGCCTGTACTGTTAGATTTTAATAGAGATGAAAATGAAAAATCTCATCACAAAATCTGTGATCAAGACAAAATCCAAGAAGCAAATGTCTATTGAGTTCTTAGATGGAACTAAGTCTGAACTTTGCTGCTAAATACAAAAACTGAAAAATGAACCAGGTTGTCATTAAGCTTCTTTACAAATAAACAGGATACTCAGGTAAAAAAAAATGGCTAACAGTTGATAATAATTACTGCTGCAACAAAATGAGATGAGTTTCCTGTAGCTTCCCGGTGTTCTAATAATTGAAATAAGTAACTCCTTAAAAAAAGGAGAATGTGGGCCTCCCTGGTGACACAGCGGGTTAAAGCACAGCACTAAGCTTAGGCCACTCCCACATGAGTTCCATCCCCTGCCTGCCTGGGAAGAGATCCACATGGCCGGCAGATCTCTCCTGACCGGCGGGCTGCTCCCCTCAGCAGTGTACTTCATCCATCTGCCTGTTCTGCTCCCCACTCTGTCTCTGGTGAATCCTCTCACCCTCCGCATCTCTGGCCTGTACCCTGGTTCTGTATGAATAAGTAAATAAATCTTTTTTTTTTTTTAAAGGAGAATACCTTACTCTACAGTCTAGAATATATGTAAAGGCGCAGGTATTTTAAAAAATGTGACCCTCATGAAAATTGAGCTAGAAAAAAAATCAGTAGCAATGCTGGAATAGCTTTACAAACTGAATTTCTAAACTAAAACAAAAATATATTTCTAACAGAAAATATTACATAATGGAAGTTATCTAATATTTCCTTTAAATCACATTTTAGTTATTGGGAATTAAGTTCCTAGAGATATATAAACTTAATATCCAATGTTCAAAGCCATTTTAGAAATTTAGATCTATAAACAAGTTTTGTCTCAAGGCACATGAAACCACATTTCATTTTTTGTATTATATAAAAGATATGCAAGAAATGATTATTAGAATTACCTATTTTGTTATTTCTAGTAAATATTCTTTCAGTCACCATTGTGACAACCCACCATACCAGAATTAAGTTCATAAAATTTGTTCCTGAAAATTCCTTAAAATGGGAGAAGTGGAGGTGGAGGGGTTAAAATAAGACTTCTTATGACATCAACCACTTTTTTTAATCAAATAAATCTCATTAAGAACTTTTTCAAAAGATGTAAAACAACCTATAGCCAGTGCCAAGAGATATAAGCACCTACTAGGAAGCTCCTCTTGCATTCTTGTAATGTCTGAATACTTTTCAGTGTGATTTTTAAAATCAAAGTTACTATGATAGACTGTTTAGAAAACATTCATCTTGAAACTTGTGTGAAATGCATTACTATTCTTTTATCTATGGCTGAGATGTTTCCCTATAATTTTCAATTCATCCCTAGAATCTTGATAAGTATATTATTACTTAGGAATAATCAGTGATTTTGTTTGCATTGCTGAAAATGCATTCCAATATTCTCAAAGTCATGAGCCTTCAATGACAATATCAAAGAGCACTGAGCTATAGGCTAAGTGGTTCACCAGTTTCCAGTTGGCGAGTACGTGTTCTGTTTGTTAACTGTCACCATCCAGGAATACTAGGGTCATCAAAGTGCTTCAGATTACTTTTAGCGGGTATTATATACAGCTGTTCATAATTATGATCATTGTATTCTACTTATTTTTTAGTAGCAACATACTAAAATATAGAAACTCTATTCTGGTGTCACTTCAATGCTGTGTTAGTATATATAATTATTCAAATGGATTCCAGATGTTTAGTTACGGTCATTAAAACAAGTCCCAATAATAAGCAATGGTTACTCAGGGACATGCATTTATCCCAGGAAGTGGAAACATTAGTACTGCTTACTAATGTACATTCTGCCTAAACTCATCAATGTATGTACGAATTGTATGCCTTCTCTTCAACAGATTAAAATGTACTTCAGATTTGTTACTAAAGAAAGCTTTTAATAGCTTTCCTTGGCTTCTTGGTAAAAGCTAACTATAGCCATTTTGGTAAGGGTGAAAGTTTTTCATAATTCACTACTTTCATTTCCTCCCCTTATATCCTGTGCTCCAAGCTCTGCTTAAACAATTGCATTCCTGAAAATGCCAGTCTCCTACTTCCTTTCCTTTATTCATGATGTTCTGTCTAGTACATATGATTCTCTTTGGTGCTGCTGCCAAACATTCTAATCTTAGTACTTACCAATGATGAACATTGTTTTTTTTTTTTTTGGTTAGAATTAATTTTGATAGATTTTTTTTCCCCCTTCTTATCCTTCATTTAAGCTTGGATTGTCTTTATCTGTTTCTTTTACTTTTGAATTTATGATTGGCACATAGCTGACGGCTAATAAAGGGTGAAACTTGCCTTTCTATAATTTCCTTTGTTTAAAAATTAGCTCTTGGAAATTTTCCCAAAATATGATCCAATGAATAATTACTAAATACTTTCAAAGTTGATTTTTTCTTTTGAAATATGGAAATTATATTCACTGATTAAGCAATGGTACACTGTTGTTTGGAATGTAAACTCATCCAACCCCTATGGAAAAAGTACGGAGGCTTCTCAAAAGACTACAATGGATCTGTCATATGACATGCAATTCTACGCCTAGGTATCCACTCAACAAACACTAAAACAGGTATCTACTAAACAGATATCTACTAAAAGTAGATATCCTTTCCTAGGAGCAATATAGTCTTGTTCTCTCCTATAAGTTGCAAAAAATTCAGCCTAGATTAAAAAAAAAATATGTAAGGGATAAATAGAGAGAGGATAGGACTGGATATCTGGGTTACTGAAAGGGTGGCTTTCAGGGACCTTGTTGGAGGACTGGGATGGGTAGATTGAGAAAGCCTTTCTGGATATTTATATGCACCCTACAGAAGATTTAGTTTCAATACTCCTCATGAATCCCCTCATTAGTTTTGAAGCAAAACAATGGGGCCATTAAATTTAATAAAACAATTTGAAAGAAAACTCGTGACATCTCAGAAAAGCAGAAAACATCAGCATGCACGGGATTCTCAATCTCCACTTGAGAGTAGTCATCCCAGTATGAGAGAGAACTGGGACCAAGATATCTTAAAACTTGTTCACCAAAAGCAGGGTCCCAATGTCTCTTTCTCATAGAGATGTCTAGGTTATTCTCACACAGGAAGGTCCATTTCTTATAGAGAGCAATTTTATACTTTAAAGTTATCCCCAATCTCTTTTTCTCTTAGATAACAGCTCCCACACTAGCAATCAGGGAATGTAATCTCTCACAAACACAGCAGTGGTCCTCACTGCCCTCACACTCAGCAAGAGCACAAAAGAATGGAGACGGAAAACACAGATGCAGAAAAACACACAAACAGAAATACAACAGATGGGTCAATGCAAACAGAAAGCAGTATCTATATTCTCTTGTTATTGTTTTTCATCATATTACTGTTTGATCATCTATTTTACTGTTTTCAACTCACCTTTCTAACTTATTAACTTGTTCATACTCATATGATATTTTACATGACTATAGCTATATATCATATGATATTTCACATGACTATAGTTTACAGTTCACAGCAATGGGTCTTCAACAAACATTTCTGTAGGGTGTATATAAATATCCAGAGAATGCGTAAAGCATTCTCTCCTCCCTAAAAAAAGCTCACATCTATTTGGAAAAGGAACCTCCGAGATTTAGGTCAGGGCCACTCACTACCTTAACCTTCCAGTCACTTCATTCCTAGCCCCTGTTACATTGATGGCCTGAGTATGACTATTCCCACCAACAGATGAACAGACAAACTGAGAAAGCTTGGGCTTTTAATCAACAGAATCCAGAGCCTGGGATTTGGTCAGAAGTCAGGTCTTGTTCAGAAGTTTACAGTTCATCCTGCAGAGGGTGGGAACAGGGTGTCAGGGAAGATGAAGAAAGGGGTTAGCCCAGCATGAGCTAGGCACAGAGCTAGCATAGGAAAGAGGTGCTAAGTTTCAACTAAAAGATAAATTCATGCTACTCCTTCCCACCTCCTTCTCCCCTCCATGGGTGGTGCAGTTCAGATATAGGTCATGGGCCCTCCCTCCATACCTGCACTTTAGGAACATTTAGAGTCTGGGTTGGAGTATGATCTACTCTGGATCCTTCCTCATGTTTATGTGCCCGAGGAAGCCATGGGAAGCTTGCCTCTCCAGCTGGCTGTGGGCAGTCAGCTTTGGGATACAGAATGGGCAATGGGTGAGGCTTATCTCCCACTTTCTCTCTACCCTCCACGCCTCCCATTGCCCCATCTCCTATTTACCTTAGAAGACACATTGGTGTTTCTCCCCATGGTGTCTTCACTGTTGTGCTCATGGGGCTGGGTGAGCTGTTGGGGTTTATGGTTAGGAAGATTCAGCTCCTGTGGTAGCTCTGCTTCAGGAGACAGCAGCTGACCCTGAAGGGTGTACAGTAGCTGGAGGAAGGTCTGGTACCTGGAAGGAAGAAGTGGGTATGAAGGAAAGAAATCTCAGCTGGTCCATCCTGGATCTGTAGATTATGATCCCAGACTCACCTCTGCAGCTTATCACGCTCCTGTGCTGCCTGTTGCTTCAGGGTTCCAAGTTCCTGATATAGCTTCTCAAGTTCCTGCTGAGTTACTGTCTGGCGCTTCCTTACTTCTGCAGAAACCTCAGTCAGACACTGCAGACGTTTCTCCTGCCAGGAGTGCAAATATAGACATGGCTCATCCCTGATGCTGAGGTCACAGTCATTCCTTTCACACCTCTAGCCTAGACCCAACTCAGAACATGGACTCACAGATGAAAGAGAGACCCTTCTCACTTTACGTAGGACCAGAGAAAAGGGTCAGAATGAGCTACTCAAAAGACACAAAAATGATGAAGATATTTAGCTTACTATGCAGAGATATTATTTTAAGTATTTGTTGTATTAATGACTTAACTCCTTTGACAACTCTATAGGCTGGGTGATAATATTGCCTCCGTTTCACAGGCTTACAAGCAAAATTACAGAAGGTAGGTGAATACCCAAGGTCACATAGTGGTAAGCAGTGATGCTGAGTCTCAAGTCCATATAGGCATGAAGATTTTCCAAGTAGAGTACTTAGCTCATATAAGGCATGGTGTTAGGAAGAAATATTTTCCTATGGGATGGACCCACCTGTTGCAGCCTCCACTGCTTTTGGGCTGTTCTGAGTTTCTCCACAGCCACTTGCTTCTGCAGATAAGCAAAAGAGAAGAACAAGGAAAGAAGGGGTGTTTTTTTCTGGTTGGATTTTAGGAAATTGCTAAAGCTCCAATCCAACATAACTACTTTCCCTTCCTCTTCTCTATTTGCCCTTCTAACCCCTTACCCAGGGTTTACCTTGGTCTGGAGCTGTGCAAGGGCTTCTTTGAGCTGTGCCTTCTTCTTTTGGGCTTCCTCCACCTTGGGAAGGATCTGGGTGAGGGAACTTGTGATGGCTTCCACATGCTCCTGGTAGGTGGCCTTCAGCTCTTTCCACTGTTCCTTGGTTGCAACTGCTTTCTGCCCTGAGATAAACCAAAAAAAAAAAAGGAAGAATTGAGATTGAGATTGGTCAGTCTGCCTACAACATTGGGGCCTCAGTCTTCCTCCAAGGGAAACAGCTGAGCTCATTGATGTCCCTATCTTTCCGCTCTTACAGCAGTACCTATCCTGGTCCTCTAATTACTCACTGCTTGAATCTTCAGAAGCCAAGGGATCCGAACCCTGGAGAGTGTCTTCTTGAGCCAAGAAGTTTTGCAGGAAGTCTACTACCTGAAGCTGACTGCAGAGCAGCTTGTCTTTCTTTCGGGAGTCCTGTTCAGAGAAGGCAGTGGAAGGAAACAGTCTTACCTCCTTGCATCATAGGCCCACAAGGCTATCTTCCAATATGCTCATCATCAATGCTGAAATAGCTCCTATTTAGCACATACCATCACAAACTCAGCCAGCATCTGGGCGGGCAGCTCTGCCTCTTCCTGTAGGCCTATAGGTGCCAGGTTATTTGCCACTTCTGCCAAGGCCCTGAAGGGCAAGGAAACAGGGTAAACTGTAGACGCCTGAATGCTGGTGGAAAACTTGTATGTACGTTCACATATGTGGATTTTATGTATCATTCTGACAGTCTTTCCTAATCAATATCTATCATGCACCTGAAGGGCCCTCTGAAACCAGGAAGTGTGTTTTTGGTGAATACCTGAAAGTAATAAGTGCCCTGAGGAAAAAGTAAGCATAGCAAAGGGAATAAGGCATAAGAAGAAGAAAAGAGCTGCAATTTTAAACAGAAAGTGTCTCAAAGAAGAGAAACTAAGAGTCAAGATCTGAAGGCAGTCGGGAAAATAAACAGGAAAAGGAATGTGGACAAAACTCCCAAGGGTAGTGGAGAACCCTCAGGGCGGAATGCACCAGCTTTGGGTGTGGGCCTCAGAAAGCTGGAGTTGCAGCTCAGGCCTACTGGATGCCTCAGTCCAGACTATTCGCGTTTTTAGAAATACGTTCGGAGTCATGGTTAGAGATAAATTAAATCACTGTGAGTGTGCATTGAGCAAGGGACACACAAAATTAAATGGTCCTTTCAGAATATCTCCTGGTGTGGCAATATTCCTGGTGTGGAATAATATCATCCACTCATCCCTGAAGGTTTACAGGGATTACAGAGTGTTCCATCCCGGACACATCTGTGGGGAGTGTATGTTCTTGCAGAGTGTTGTTAAGTTCCTCAAAGGCCGTACTACTGGACAAGGGCAACAATCATTTCAGGAACCTAAGACTGAAATCGGGACCACAAATTAGGTCCTAAAAGCTTTACCGGAACGAGAGGGGCACCAACTGTTCGTGGGGACCCGCAAGTTCTACCCCGACCCGACCGGATGCCAACTGGCGGCAGACACTTACTCTTGGGCCGCAGCCTCCGCCTGAGTCTCCGCCATCGCATCCATTCTTCTCCACGTCGCCCTTCCAAGACTAGGCTTGCCTAATTCTTCCATCCATTTTGGATCCACAGATAACAGCGCGCCTGAGCAGGCGATTGGCTGATTGGGTAGTGGGTGGGATTCAAGTATTTTACTGCTCTCTGATTGGCAGACTCGTACACGCGAATTGGCGCGTCCCTCTCTTTGGCGCAGGCGCATTTTGGCTGCTCTAGGAGCGACATCCGGAGTTCCGCGCATGCGTGCTAATACGAGGCGGTGCTGGAGGCGGGAGGCGGGGTTTGAATTCTAGCCGTGGTTTACGCTTTGGTTCTTCTCTGCGCGGAATAGAGTAACATTACTTTTGGGTTTTAAGGGAGCCTCATAGCTCATTTTGCTTAAAAAAAAATTCCACTGCTGTAGAAAAAGACCCCTTGGATTATCTTCTAAGACGTTTGCCATCGGTAACGACAAACAGTGATGCTGGAAACGTAGGAAACAGATGACAACAAACTCAAAAAACTTAGTGAAGATGTCCCAGAATGTGGTCCAGGGGGAAACAGCCCAAGCAGAGCCCACAAGTTACTGGCGTTGACAGTATGGAGCTGAAATTCTGGGAAGACTAAGGCAGGTAAAGTTCTCTGCAGAGTGTAGAAAAACGGAGAGTTTCTTAGAGAAGTTGTAGTCACGAGGAGTTTCCTGCTAAGTACTGAGCCTCTCCTGTGTGAGCAAAGTACACGAAGAGGTTGTAAAGACACCCAAAGATCATTTAGAATTAGATAAAGTGAATGTCTCCACTAATCAGGATTAAGAAATAACCCATAGTGCATTAGAAAGAGTGCACAGGCAGGTCGTGTACTAAGAAATCCTAGGCATATCACCTTTAGTACCACCTACAAATCTTCAAAACAGGACCCAAATGAATCAAACAGTTAACAAGTCATTTCAAACATACGACAGAGTTATGTAAGATTTATAGAAACACAAAAATGTCCAGCAACAGTAAGTTATGTTTTACAATTTCTGGCATTCATTAAAAACTAATCAAGCTTCCCAAAAAATGAGGAAAAGAAAACCTGTACAGAGGAGAAAAAAGCACTTACCCATCAGAATATAAATAAATCAAGGGATCAACAGTCAAGGACATTTAAAAAGCTTTTGTAGCTATATTCCATATGTTAAAATAAGATAAGCAAAGGTATAATAAAAAACAAGCGATAAGAATTTCGAGGCCCTCCCTGGTGGCTGAGTGGGCTAAAGCACAGCACTAACTAAGAAGCTTAAGCCACTTGCATATGAGTTCGATCCCTGCCTGCCCCAGAGGTGACCACATGGTGAGGCAGACCTCTACGCACCCGCCCCGCTGCTCCCCTCAGCAGTGTACTTCGTGGATTTGCCTGTTCTGCTCCCCCACTCTGTCTCTGGTGAAGCCTCTTACCCTCCGCATCTCTGGCCTGTACTCCAGTTCTATATGAATAAATAAATAAATCTTAAAAAAAAAAAAAAGAATTTGGAGGAAGTGGAATGCTCCTATTGCTGCAGGAATGTAAAATAGTGCATGTACTTTGGGAAGCACTTTAGGAGTTTCTCAGAATGTTAAACAGTTATTATTGAACCACAGTTTTATTCCTTGTATACCCAAGACAAATGAAAATGTGGACACAGAAATTTGTACAAAAATGTCCACAGCAGCACTGTTTACAAGGTCCAGAAATAAGGGGTAACATAATTGCCCATCAGCTAGTGAATGGAAACAAAATCTACATCCATTTGATAGAGAATGTTTCAACAATAAAAGAAATGAGATGTTATTAATACATGCTAAAACATGTAAGAAACTTGAAAACATGCTAAGTGAAAAACCGTCACAAAGAGAAAAATAGTATAATTCCATTTATAGGAAATGCCTAGTTTTCAGGCAACTCTAAAGTAATAGAAACGGATTTCTGATTGTCTTCTGATTGCAGCTGGTGAGGGTCTTGGGAACAATTGCAAATGGACATGGGGTTTCTTTTAGTAGGAAAATGTTCTAAAATTAGAAATGTTAGCACAATTCTATACAAAAAATTATGTACACTTTAGGTATCACAAAGCTCTTTAAAAGTTAATCAAAGAGATGAGATATATAATAAAGGCCTAAGTTAAATTTCTAGAGGCAAAAACTACAATATAATAGGTGAAATTAAATGGTATTTATAGTAGAGTAAACCTTTCATACTAAAAAATAAATGAAATTGAAGGCATGAAAATAGCATGGATCACAGAAAATTAAAACATTAAAAGAAGAAATCAACAAGGAGCTATGAACCAATTTTTAAGTCTAATATGCTTGTAAATGGAGTCCCTGAAGGAGAGACAAAGGAGAGCAGAACAACAACAAAAAAAGTTAAAATTAACTACAAATACACATAAGATTAAACTCCAAAAACAAGAAACATGAATACTATACCTAGCCATAATTACATAGCTCAAAATCATTAATAAAAACTGTAAAAGCAGTTTAGGGTAGATTGGGTGGTGGCATGTTACCTACAGATTAACAGAAATAAGGTACCAATTAATAGTAAATTTTACATTGGAAGCAATGCCACAGTTTCAAACAACTATTGTAATACAAACACAATGTCACCCTTAACCTCTCTATACAGGAAACATACCTTTTGAAAGTAAAGTTAACTAAGGACACTTTAGAGATGCAAAGAGTTGAGGAGTTACCATTAGCAGATCCAAACTGCAGGGAACTAGAAAGAAATCTTTCAGGCAGAAGGAAAATTATATTACACCGAATCTAAATGTGTATAAAGGGCATAATGATAACTACATGAATAAATATGTATGTTTTGTGATGTGGGAACTGTGTGAAAAGGAGCTGGTAGCCTTTATATCTAAACATACACTCTAGACAGCTAGTAAGAAGGAACATTGAGCTATGAGCCAATTTCTAAGTCTTAACACGCTTGTAAATGGAGTCCCTGAAGGAGAGGCAAGGGAGAGCAGAACAACAACAACAAAAAAATGTAGAATTATTGGTTATATTTTCTAATCAGCAAGCTAATTGAGGGAAAGAGTTATGTAGATTTTTGCACATAACTAATAGTAAGCAATTAATAATTTTATGTGCATATTAAATGAAGGGCAGTCTGTGCAAGATCTTAAGGTATTTTAAGGTTCCTGGTTTTAATGAGAATAAAAGACAGTTATTAAAGATTTTTTAGTAATTCTATGGTAGTCAGACTTCAGTATGCTAAACCTGAATTCTGGGTGGCAAAAAAAACCCTGGGAAATAAAAAAAAATATTTTTGGATTGCGTGATTCTGTTTGAGTGTTAGTGATAATATATTTAGATGAACTAATCATGGATTTTATGATTGAGTGAATCTGATTTGATGAAGTTGCTAAACCATGTGTCAAATATAGTACTTAGTGCTTGGGACCAGCCCCAACTATCGAGGTGTCCGAGAGACAGGCAGGACCCTAAGGTGGGAAGGCCCTAAGGTGAGAAGGCCTCTGGGAGAGGAGACTCCAAAAGGGAAGAGGGGAGCGGGCTCGAGGAAGACATGGGAGCCAGGGTTGGGTGCAAGTCTTCCTGCTCATTCCTTCAGCAGGTCTTTATTTATACTGTGTAGCAAGTAGTTAATTGCAATAATGCATGGGGTAAGTTAATGAGAGAACACCATAAATTGTATAAGGACAAGGGGAACAAAGCATATTTCTCTTAACATTTTATAGTATACTAGATTATACATTTTTGTGATAATTGTCATGTGTACAGATGTTTAGTATCACTCAAAGGAAAAGAGGTCTGGGAAGGGATGAGCTCATTAACAAAAAGTTATTAGGGGTCTTAGTGAAGTAATAAATTGTGTTATCAGTCTTATCAGTGATTGTGTAAAGAAAAGCTAGTGGCTAATTTACGGCTAGCAGGGAGTAGTTAGTTCTTGTTTTTAAAAGGAGTAAATTAAGGGAAAGTTGTACAGTTGTGTATTAAGCAACACCTGTGTAAACAGGTTAAAAATTGTCCATGAGTCCTTATGCCCTGGGAGTCTTATCTGAGTTTTGCTTTTTATTTTGAAGAAACCAAGGAAGCTTCCCAGGAGTCTTTATGCCCTGGAGCTTGCCTTTTGTCTCAGGAGAAAGGAATTTCCCGCCCTGGGCCTGCTTGCCTGGGCCAGACAGCTGCCTTATGAGGCTAAGACAATCCAGTTGTAAACATATGGTTGCTCAGAATATTTTGATAGTATGATTATGCAAAAAAGTGAGGTCAAAACACAAGTTAGCAATGGAAATTCTGAATTTTCAGAGCTTTTCCCAATCTGTCCAGAATTTGTCTGTTGATAGAAGTTGCATAGCTCGTGTCAACTTAGCTTTTTAACTTTGTACTGGGTTAGTTCTACTAACAATTTATTCAAATTGTTATTCCTGAAAGAGAATCCTGCTTGAAATTAATGGGGAAGTTTCTTGAGAAGTTCCTACTTTTAGACTACCTAGAGTTGTTTTGACTATCCCAACGTTTAGATATTTTTTGCATAGTGCATATTTTTAAAAGCATATAGATAAGTAGAGCCTGCCAGTGGCACAGGGGTTAAGTCTCAGCACTATCAAGCTATGTGGCCCCATGTTAGCTCCCATATTAGCTCCCTGGCCAGGGGGCTAACCCGCATGGCTCAGCAGATTTCTCCAGTCTTGCCTACTGCTTCCCTCAGCAGCAGATCCTCTTATTCTGCTCCCCACTTTGTCTCTGATAAATCCTTCACCCCTGCACCCATGGCCTATATGCACCCTAGTTCTTGTATGCATAAATAAATAAAAATAAACCCTTTTTTAAAAAGCATATGGGTAAGTAGATTTAGTGACTAAATATAACTATAATTAGGCACTTGATAGTTAAGAACATATAACAGGCAATTGAATCTATGGATATGAATGAAAATTTCTATCTTGATAGTATAGAGTGCAAAAAGAAATGATGGCTGCAACCATATAATTGAGTAACTAAAATCAGATAAATTTGGAGAGAAAGGATGGGTTTATCGTAAGAGAGAAATAGCTCCAGTGAGAAGAGAAAAAGCAACCATTGTGTGGGGATATGCCATAGATATTAAAGAAGTAAT